TTGTTTTGTTTAATTCCCTTAAGCAGTATGAAATGTTCTTCTTTGTTCCTTCTTATTGACTTTGGCTTGAAGTCCACTTTATCTCATATGAGGATAGAGACCCCTGCCTATGTACAAGATCCATGTGAATAATATTTTTCCCCATCTTTCACCTTCAGTCTGTGAATGTCTTTGCCTAAGAGATGAGTCTTTTGGAGACAGCATATTGTTGGATCTTGTTTTTTTAATCCAGTCTATCAGTCTGTGTCTGTTGGTTGATGAGTTTAGGCCATTTATCTTCAATGTTATTGAGAAATGATTTTTATTCCCTGACATTTTGATTTAATTTTGGTTTTGACTTTGAGGCAGTTTCTCCTTTGATTGACTATTTTTGCAGTGTAGTTTCTCCCTTTTCTGCTTTTCACATGTATTTTTCATGAACTGTTTTATTGAGTATGTTTTGTAGTATAGGCTTTCTAATTGTGAATTCTTTTAACTTTTGTTTCTCATGGAACGTATTTATTTCATCATCAATTCTGAAGCTTAATTTTGCTGGGTATAATATTCTTGGAAGGCATCCATTTTTCTTTCAGAGCTTGGTATATATTATTCCACGACTTCTCAGCTTTGGGAGTCTATGTTGAGAATTGAATTGAGATCTAGATTGGTTTCACTCTAAATGTAACCTATTATTTTTCTCTGAAATCCTTTAAAATTCTATCCTTGTTCTGTTTGTTAGGCATTTTCATAATAACGTGAGTTGGTGTTGGTCTGTTGTAATTTTGTACATTTGGGGACTTTAAGCCTCCTGTATTTGATTTTCCATTTCATTCTTTAGATTTTGGACATTTTCTGATATTATTTCATTGAAAAGATTGTGTATTCCTTTGGTTTGTACATTGAGCCTTCATCTATCCTGAAAAATCTTAAATTTGGTCTTTTCAGGTTATTCCATATTTCTTGTAATTTCTGTTCATGATCTCTTAACATCATTTCTCCATGGTCATCTTTATTTTCAAGATTATGTATTTTGTCTTCATTGTCTGTCTTTCAAATGGTCTAGTCTGTTGGTGATACTTTCTGTTAAATTTTTAATTTGGTTTATTGAACCCTTCATTTTCAGGATTTCTGCTTGATTTTTTTTCAGAATCTCTTTTTATTGAAGTGATTTTTCACTTCATGTATTTTCTCTCTGACTTCACTCCTTATACCATCCTTTACCTCACAGATCAGTTTAATTTTGTACATGCTAAATTCCTTCAATGACATTTCTTCACAGTGATATTGATGGATTCTGTTATTGAAGTATCTTTGTTTGGGGGCAAATTGTTCAGTTGCTTTTTCATGTTGTTTGTGTATCTACCCATCTAACAGTATGGATCTGAGGCAGTAGAATTTCTATTCTGTGGACTTGTAGTGTCCCTGAGGCTTTCCTGTACCTCACTCTTTATGGGGAGATAAATAATAACAACCACCAATGCAAATATACAGCTTTAAAACAAATAGCTCCTGCTAAGACATTTAAAAAGATAATTGTCACAATAAACAGAAATGATATAATCAGTTATTGCCCACAGTAAAAACAGTAAGTTTGAAAAGGGTTTACAATTAAAAATGGTGGACTGAAAGAACAGAAGTGATATAGGGTTGGGCATAGTGTGCACTCCCTTAATCCCAGCAGCTCAGGAGGCTAAGGCAGGAGGATCATGAGTTCAAAACCAGCCTCAGGCAAAGCGATCGCTAAGCAAATCAGTGAGACCCTGTCTCTAAATAAAAATACAAAATAGGCCTGAGGATGTGGCTCAGTGATTGAGTGCCCATGAGTTCAATCCCTGGTACCCCACTCCCAAAAAAGAAGTGATCTAGGATGTGATGATTAGTAGAGAGGAGATGAGAAGATAGAAGTAAAATTAAGGGAAGAATGAAAAAGAGAATAATAGAGTTTGGCTATAAGCAGAAGAGAAAGAGAATCAAGGGAAATTTAAGAGGTGTGTGTGTGTGTGTGTGTGTGTGTGTGTGTGTGTATAATGTAAATTTTTAACAAATGAAAATTAAAAAATACAAAACAAAACTGAAATATACTAATCAAACATCGTAGTCCTCAAAATACTGATCCATGAAAAATAACTAGTTTCAAAAATGCTAGAAATGAGAAAAAACAAATATGAATATGTATAAATGTCCATGAACCATTAAGGTCACAATTAAACAGGAAAGCAATAAAAAGAACCTCAATGAAAAGTTAAAGAATTGTGTCGGTTGGAATTAAAAATACTCTCAGTTTCCCTTCTCAGCACTGTTCGGTGGGGTTGTTGAAGAGAGGGAGGTAATCCTGTAGGTGGAACTCATGTAGGCAGTGTTTAGGCTTAGGTGGATGCAGGTTCTTTGCTAAATGCCAGTTGGTCTGGAGATATTAAATCAGTTCCCTCCAGGGCCCAGTACTTGCTGATCCACACTGAAAGACTGTATTCCAAGGATCTCTTCTGGGTTCTACTCATGTAGTCAAGGAGCCAATTCTTAGTCTACTACATCACCTGCAAACCTGTTTCTTGGTCTTGGGTACAGTCTCCAAACTCAATCTCTCCCGCCCCCACTCTTTCGAATTCCTGGCCAGATGTTTCTTTCCCCAGCTGCTTCTGCAAGCAACCTGGATGGAGGAGGAGGGGGAGAGCCATGTGGGTTTCTACGATCTGTTGTCCCATGTGTGAACCTCTCTCCACGTTTGATTTTCTTCTGGTCACTTAGGCACACTCTATGTTGTGCAATGTGAGTTTGCCAGGACTGTTTTTCAGACCATATTTAGGTTTGCCAGGAATTGGCTTCCCCAGCTGCCAGCTTCAATTCTTCAGCTGCAAATGTTTTTTTTTTTTTTCCCCTCTGTCCACACACAGCCAGGAGAGATGCAGTTTCCTTCCTGTATGAGGATATTGTGTAGCACACCTTTAGGTTTAGTCAGGCTGTCTCTTTGATCTCTAAACTGTGTGTACCTGGACATGCCTCAGTCCTCCTAAAAATGTGGGTTTCTTTAATTCCCTTATCCTTCCACTTTGCTCATGGAGGGCATGCACCAGATGGTGCCTCCAGTCACAGCTGTGGCTGTGGGGTACTGTGGATTTCTTCCTTATTTTATTGTAGCCAATTATTATCCCCAGTCTGGTTTGAATGTCCAGTATTTAATTCCAGTAAAGCTCTCCTTTTTGTTGTTGTTGTTGTTTACCCACCTCACTGAGAAGCTGCCTGTTTGCTTTCTTGGTTTCATAGTCAGGAAAGCAATCTTCTCTATTCCACCATCTTGAACCCCCCCCCCCACACACACACACTTTGCTTTATACTCCTTTGTCTTTCTCTTTTCCTTCATGAACATCCATAACCTGAACATTTGCTTTTTGATGCTATCTCCTAAATCCTATAAACTTCTTGTTTCTTTTCATTCTTTTTTCTCCTCTGATTGTATTTTTAAATAACCTTTCTTTGAATTAATTGATTGTTTCTTTCACCTGATAAAGTCTTCTGTTGATGCTATGGATTAGATTTTTCATTTAATTCATTGTATTTTTCAGATTTTTAAAACAATATCAATCTATTTGTTAAATTTATTATTTTTGTCACATTATTTTCTTGATTTCATTAAATTGTTTCTCTGTATTAGAGTTTTCTGAGCTTCTTTAAGACAATTACTTTTAATTCTTATCAGGTAGGAGTCAGCTATAGGGAAATTATTGTGTTCTTTTGGTGGTGTATGCTTCCTTTTTTTTTCTTTTCTCATTGCCTTACATTGATGTTTGTGCACATAAAGAAATAGGGACTTATCCCACTCATTGCATACTATCTTTGTTTGGGAAAGCCTTCAAGAGTCAGACTGTCCAGAGATTTTGAGCAGGCCATCTGATGTCGTCCTCAGGAAAGCTTGCTGCTGGAGGCTTTGAGCAGTCTATCTAGGTCAGCAGGTGGGAAGGCCTGTCACCTGAGTCCTCAGGATTGGCCTGAAGCCTAAATCCAGTGTGGTAGACTAGTTGATTTGGACTTGGGGATGAGCCCGGGGCCTGGGTCCACAAAGGCAGGCCTAAATCTTGTACCTCTGCTGGCCAACCTGAAGCCTGAGCTCACAAAGGTTGAAGTGGTGCTGGGGTGGGCCATAACCTGAACCTGCGTGGGCTGGCCTAGCTCTTGGTCAAGCTTGCTACCTGGAACCATTGAAATAAACCTGGTATCTGAGTCTCTAAGAGTGATCTTTGAATCTCAATCCAAGGTGTTTAGCCTGGCATCATGGTCTACTTGAGTGGGCATAAGGCCATGGTTCCTCTGGAACCTGGGGCATAAGAACCATCCTGAAACCTGAGACTGGCCTGATGCTGGGGCCACTCTAGAGCCTGAGTCCACAGGGACTAATCTAGAACTTAGGATCATAGGTACTATCCTGATTATTAGAGCACTGAGGCAAACCTGAAGCATGTGGCTGTGGTGCTTGCCTGAAGGCTGGGTATGCAGGTGCCTCACTTAGAAGTTATATCCAAAATAACTACCCTAGGTCCTGGGTCTTCAGTGGGATAGGCTGGGTCCTGAATACTCAGGTGATCCTGGAAACTGAGTCTCTGAGTGCATGGTTCAGAACTGGGATCTAGTAGAATATTCCTGGATCTTGGTTTGTTAGAGCATGGGGATAGAGGGGCCAGCCTGAAGGGCTTGGCTGCAAGGGCTGGAGGATCCTGCCTGGCGCTGGGTCAGGCTTGAAGGCTCAATCCACAGGTACAAGCCTGGAGCCTGTATCCATATCTGCCCAGAACCAGAGTTCACCTCAGCACTGAAACAACCTGGAGACTGAATATTTTATAGATTGGGAGACTGGGGTGGCAGAATCTGGACTGGTACCAGAACAGTCCTGCAAGTTCAGCCTTTTAGCACCAGCCTGGAATCTGGGACTATGGAGACCTGCTTAGTTTTGGGTTTCACTGTGGCAGACCCAGTGTTGGGGTTCAAGATAAAGTCTGGTTCTAACTTTCCTCTTCTTCCCTCATACACAGGGTATCTCTCATGCTGTACCACTTGGGATTTGGGGAGGGGTGATGCAGGTAATGTTGGTCTTTCCTGTACTCTTCAATTCATTGTATTTCTGCGCTACACCCAGAAGCTATTCTCTCTTAACTGATTTCCTTAGCTCTTGAAAGTATTTTCACGTGTGAATAGTTGTTCACTTTATGGTTTTAGTCAGGGAGTAGCAGGATCAAGTGCTAGAGGGTCTTATTTTTCCATATTTCTGACAGCCATCTTAATCATTTTAATTAGAAAATACTACATACTTTTTACAAAACTTTAGATAGTTGTACAGAGAGTTAAACATTATTTTATCTCCCCTTGTTCCTTTTCTTGCTTAACTTCCCAAAGTTAACTACTTTTAAATTTAGTTTACATCATTCTATACATTCCTATGAATATATGTGCATATATTTAATTTTTGTTAGTGTTGGGGATTGGACATATTGCATTTGTTCTACAAATTTTAATTTAATACATCAATGGAATTTCTTCATGAAAGTATATATGGTACCAAATTATACATTAAATGCCCAAATAATAAACAAAATTTTGATATTTTGTGACATATGCCCTATAGATAAACTAATAAACTTTGGTATAATACATTGAAGCTCTTAAGGACTTTAGATATAAGTGTGGACACTAAGTATAAATGCAAAATTACTTGGCTTGTGTTACTTATTACATTGAAAAATACTATAGCATAAATTTCTGTATCTTAGTGTATGTACTCACACACAAACACAATCTTTGGGGTTTAATATGAAATTTGTTTGGCCAAATGATTGTCCTAGTGTTTGTACAGTGATAGAAGATATTTGCCTATGGTGGACAAAGATGATTTGTAGTTCCAGGTGATTTCCTTTTTCTTTTCTTTTTGCAGTACTGTGGATCTAACCCAGGGCCTCATACATGCTAGGCAAGCACTTACCATTGCTCCACATCACCAGGCCCCTCCATGTGATTTTTAGATAACATTGGAGTCATATCTTGAAATAAGTGACAGACTTAAAACAACAAATTTCTAAGGATTCTCTACTATAAAACTCAAAATATCAGGCTAAGTTTTAAAACTCAGTCTTTCATTATTGATTGCCCAAATCATTCTATGAAGCTCATGAAGTTACTGATGCCCCATGACTATTCCTTTAAAATATCATTGATTAGACTTATCATACTAAATGAATGTAACTTTTCATATTAGACATTAGAGACATTCTTAATATATGCATATTAAGTTGAATGTTTTAGAAAAAGCTATTACTGCAGCCTCATAAACAGTCAAACTTCAAGTGGTATATGAAATATATAGTTGAGGAAAGAAATTGGTACCTGTATGTATCCATTAAAGTGATACATTGTCTTACTTCCCTCTATTTTATTCATAGATGCCACTTGGAATGAACAGGGAAAGACTGAACTTTTTACAGATAACTTTTGTCGAGTATGTGGAGTGATGCTACAGTTCGAATCACAAAGGATTTCGCATTATGAGGTTGGTTAAGTACAGTGGTAATAGGGTTGAAAGCAAGTTTTTGAATATAGCAAGTAAGTTTCATATAAGATATCTTATTTGATGATTTCAAGAATCCTGTGAAATGGTGGTATTATTTCCCTGTGATGGAGAATACTGGTTCAGAGAGGGACAGTAATATACTACCTTAAGTTTGGGGAATCCAGATTTAAACATAGACTGTTTCCCTATATCTATTTTACTTTCTTCACATCATTCTCCCTCCTTTATATCCATCAAGCAACTATACTATTCATCCTTGTAGTAAATATTCCACGTGGTGTAGGAAACTGTTAATGCAAATCAAGGGAAACTGTAGAACTCCGGGGATTTCCTTTTGCAATACAAGATGACTACACAAACAAAATTAACCAGTTATTGACTTGGTCACATGATTTTAGATACTCAAACATAAATTCTTCAGCTAGAAGAGAAAATGTTTAATGTTCTTACTCTTTTAGTTAATACATTAGGAAACAGACCCAGGGTGATTTTTTTCTTTTTAGCATTGGGATTGAACACTGGGGTGCTTAGTCACTGAGCCACATCCCCACACCTTTTTAAAATTTTATTTAAAGACAGAGTCTCATTAAGTTGCTTAGGGCCTCACTAAGTTGCAGAGGTCGACTTTGAACTTGTGATCCTCCTGCCTCAGCTTCCTGAGTCACTGATGTGTGCCACTGAACTTGGCCAAGGGTTATTCTGCATAGCTATTCATTGACATGATTAAGCCTAAAGTGATTTCTTCCGATTTCATATTCAGTGTTCTTTGCTTTCATTGGATATTGTTCTACATTATACATCATTTGATGAACCATTAATTTTCTTTCATATCTGATATCTAGATTACCAAAAGTAATAGATATCTTTACTTTAAACAGTGTAATGCCCATATGACTTTTTAAAATACTTATTCTATTTTTTTCCATTACTAATCTTACTGGAAACTATATTTTAGTCCTTATGTTGACTAGGATTAAGTTGTTATAATTACTGATAGGAAAATTTTGTTGGTTTTGGATGAAGAGCTTGGTTCAAGTCATAGCTCCACCATTGAATAGTGGTATAACCCTGGGAAAGATACTTCACCTCTCTGAGCATGTTTATTGAACCTACAAAATGTGGGTAGCAAAAGTTTTGAAGTTGCATTTATTAATATCTCCTTTTATATCTATGCTTATATGTTTAAGAAACTATTCTATACACTTTCTTCTAAAACTTTGAAAAATTCTACTTCATATGTCAAAGTGTTTAATCCATCTGATATTGATTTTTGTGCATAGAAAGTGGATAGTATTTTTTCATATGGATATACAGGTGATACAATAGATGATATCGCAGAACTGTCTGTTGTAGTCCATCCTTGCCCCCACTGATTTGTGGTGGACACGTCATTGTATACTAATTTCTACCCAATGGTCTGTTTTGAGGATATTCTTCTGTTTTATTATATTGGACTGTTTCCCTATATCTACAGCAATTTCACCTTTAAGTCACAGCTTTATAAATTAAATCACAGTATCTGTAAGAGAAATTTATATTATCTGCAAAAAATGTCACAATAAAGTCAAATATAAGCCACACATTGGGTGATGTTTATAACTCATATAAATAACAAAGGATTAGTGTCTAGAATATACAAAGGATTACCACTAAGTTAGAATAAGAACCCAAAATAAAAATGGGAAAGGGATATGAACTGGTTATAGAAGAGATACTGAATTAGTGATCAAACAGGAAATGCAGTTAAAATGATATTGTGGTACTTTATATGGATTACCATATAAAAGTGATACTTTATATGGACTATCATATAAAAACCATAATACTGGCAAAATATAAAATCTAATGATACTTAACACTTCAGAATATCAGGAGACAGAAACACTGCCTTGAGAGATATAAATTGCCTCAGAATGTTACAATACCTCATAAGGTTGAAAATTTACATATTTTAGAAGCCAAGGATTCCATTTGTAGGTATCTGCTCAAAATAAACTCTTAAACATGTATGTTAGGAGATATGTTTATTGCAGAAATGTTTGTAAAAGCAAAATAAATTCAAGCATAACTGCACTTGATAGAGGACCGGATGGGTAGAATATGGAGTAGAATATTATATAGTATATAACATGAATGAACTAGAACTGTATGTATCAATATGGATAAATCTTTAATACTGAGTGTTTTTTTAAAAAAATATTTTTTAGTTGTTGGACATAATATCTTTATTTTAATGTGGTGCTGAGAATTGAACCTAGGGCCTCACACATGCTAGGCGAGCACTCTACTGCTGGGCCTCAACCCCAGCCCCTTTAATACTGAGTTTCAAAAAGCAATTTGAAAAAAAAAAATATATATATATATATATATATATATATATTAAGTGATTCAATTTTTGTAAATTTTTAAAGAGCAGTATGTAAACTTTACATACACATGTAAATGTGGTCAAAGAATAAATGCAGGAAAGGAAATGCTATATATCAGATTTGCCTGTGGGGAGGAAGAGAGGTGGAAAGGATTGTGGGCATGAGGGTATAGGACTGTGTCTATAAAATTTTACCTCATAAAAAGGACTTTTGAAAGAAACAGAGCAAAACCTAGACATCTATTGAAACTAGATAGTATTACAGGCTTCTAGCTTGTTAGTTCCTTTCCTTTCCTATTCTGTATGATGGACTATTTAAAATTCTGTAAAGAGAGTAATTTACCATTAATCTAGGTACATGTATGATTGCACAAATGGTGTGACTCTATGTCGTGTACAGCCAGAGAAATGAAAAGTTGTGCTCCATTTGTGTACAATGAAATGAAATGCATTCTGTTGTCATGTATAACTAATTAGAACAAAGAAAAAAAATACAAAAACCCGCCAAAACCCCCAATATAGAATTTACTTCTCTGTTAAAAGTGTATATGTTGTGTCTTATTTCTTTTATTTTTTATCATATCTATGTTTCAATCATAATTAAAGTTTTGGTTATCTCTATTTAAAAAAAGAGAAATGTTGCCTCAAGCAGTATGTTAAGAAATTGTTCATTTACCCTCTCCCTACACTAATTTTAATCTTGGTTTTTCTTACGTATTAGGTTATATATTTGTTCAGAGATTGTTTCTAATATTGCTTGAATCCAGAAAGGTTTAATTCCTCACATAAAATATTTTGAGAGGTAGGCAGTATTAGAATTCTATGACATCTCAGTACTATTAGGAGTGACCTAGGCATTTCATGTCTTTCTGATCTGATGAACTGGCTTTTGTCCTCACAGTTACCTGTGGTCCAATGTGAATTCTGTCCTTTTCAACATAATTCTAGAAGCATGGGGGAAGTAGGATAGAAGAAGGGCTTATCCTTTTAAGGAAATTTTTAAGGAAAGTTTTAAGGAAACATCCCAAAAGTTTCGCCAAACGCTTCAGATTATTACTGGCCAGAATCTAGTTACATGACTACATTTTATAGAAAGGGAGGCTGAAAAATATATTCTTTTGTTGGGACCATTGACGAGGGTTTGTAACTAAGGAAGAAGACCTTTGATATTGGGTAGCAACTAGAAGTCTGTCAAAAATGAGAACCTAAAAATGATTGACTTCTAAATTTTAGCATTATTTTTATGTTAAGTGAGATTTAGAGATTTGAAAGTCTGAAGTTTTTTTCATAAGCAGTACAATTTAAATGTAATAAAACTCATGAGTACTGTCTTTAAATTCAGAGAGAGAGAAAATTTTGATGACTTTGTTATTGGATAAACAAAGTCATATCTTTTTTTAGAGTGAAAAACATGCTCAAAATGTTAGATTTTATTTTCAAATGCATGGGGAACAAAATGAAGTGCCTGGTAAGAGAATGAAGATGCATGTTGGGAACCTTAAGGTGAGTGGTCTATGTTAATGTCATAATTCTAACCTTTGGGTCTGGGATTGTGGCTCAGTGGTGGAGTGCTTGCCTAGCATGTGTGAGGCACTGGGTTTGATTCTCAGCACACATTTAAAAAATAAAGATATTTGGTCCATTTACAGCTAAAAATATTTAAAAAAATAATTCTGAACTTTGAGCTATTGAATCATTCTAACATGCTTGTGCTTATTTCAGGTGCATAGGAGTGGAGTAGTGGACAGAAACAAATTTTGTGATCTCTGCAACATGATTTTTAGCTCTCCAATTGTTGCTCAATCTCATTATGTGGGGAAGGTCCATGCTAAAAAACTGAAGCAACTAACGGAGGAACATTATCATGTATCTCCATCAGGATTTCAACCAGAGATGGGTAAGGTTCTACTCACCTCTTTTTGTTTTTGAGAGAGAGAGAGAGAGAGAGGAGAGAATTTTTAATATTTTTTTTTAGTTTTTGGCGGAAACAACATCTTTGTATGTGGTGCTGAGGATCAAACCTGGGCTGCACGCATGCCAGGCGAGCGTGCTACCGCTTGAGCCACATCCCCAGCCCCTACTCACCTCTTTTTCTTTAATAAAAGATCTAGACATCTTTTCCCTCAAACCTGCCATCCATTTTTTATCAGGCAGACTTTCACTTCAGTTTAACAGCTTAATTATTTTTCTTCTACTCAGTTAATCTCTTTCTGTGTCCTTGTCAATGGAGATTATAATTGCTAGCTGAATTTAAAAGGTGTTATGACATCTCACTTTCAGTTTGCTAAATCCAAATAAAGCAAGTGACTTGCTATACTGCTGTAAATATTAACAAGTAGCTAGAGCTCTATCAGTTTATAATCAAGTCATAAGCTCTTTAACACTTTCTTATTTCTGCCCCTTGGCATCTTCTTTATTGCTGTAGTACTTGCCAAAATGATGTCTTAAATGTGTGTTTAGAACAATGTCTTCACCATAATATAATCACAGATGCAGCCTTTCCTGGCTATAACTGCAGGCAAAAAAAAAAGTTATTGACTTTCCTTTTACCCTGGCTTTCCATTTATTTCTTCCTATGAATATAAAGAAAAAGTACCACTAGCATTATCAATCAGTAGTTGCTGAGTAATTTTGTTATGTTAAATTCAAAAGATACAGAAAATTATAAAATATTATTTTCTCCCTTCTTCTGGTGATGTTGGGCTACCAGTGAAGAGAGATATGACCCAAAATTATCTAAAAAGGCAGAGCACACTCTGGGAAACCCAACTTCTATTTTGAAAAACTTGAGTGCAAAACAAAAAAGATGATGATTAATCCTCTGAAATAAATATTTTTTTACATTCTAAGTAGCTTCAACCTTGTAGTTCTAAGGTATACCTGGCATGGAAAATTCATCTACATTAATTCCTAAGTCATCTTATAGGCATCACCCAGCAAAGTCAATGCTACAAGAAGCAGTATTAAAACTTACTATTTTCTTAACAAATGAAACCAGAATTTGTTTTTAAAGTTATTCTAGTCTCTTTAATTGTTGTATTTTTTTCTGACTGCCAATCTAATGAAGGACAGAATTAGTGTGCCTTAAAAGAGAAAGTATTTTATAACAACCATATCTTCGGACACCAATATCCATTGTTTTGGCCTTGAGGAGAGAAAGTGAAATAGCAATGAAATAACTGGAATTGTAGAAACAGGTATAGTTTCATGGTCTTAACTGCATCAATTTTATTCTGATGCAAACATTATAAATCTAGGCAGGGGCTGGGACTGTGGCTCAGTGGTAGCGCACTTGCCTGGTATATGTGAGACACTGGGTTTGATTCTCAGCACCATGTATAAATAAATAAAATAAAGATTATCAACAACTGAGAAATTTTTTTAAAAAAAGGAAAAGAAAAAGTTAAAATTTAGCCTAGGCAGAATAGGTGCATTTGCTATGTTACTTAAGAAAGACATCAACTTAGAGGTTGGTATCATTTGTTTTACACTAAGACAATTGTCGTACTTTTATTGGTTCCTCAAATGAACCAATAAAATTTAGGCAATGCCTGATGTGGAAAATTCCTTCCCTCCCATGTCTTTATTGGCAAAACCTGGTGATAAATGAGTGTTCAAATTTCCATTCTCACAGAAGGAAATTCTTTTTGACTTCAGTTCTTCTATCCAGCATCCCTGTGCTGAAAAAGTCCAAAGATGCTGGGTTTTTAAAGAATTCTAAATGTCTGTAATACTTTATGAATGCAGCTCAAATATATGAACACATACTGATCTCCTTTCATTATAACTATTTCAGCAGGTGTGCCTGTTCGTACTTACACAGAGTCAACTTTCCTGAAGCCTTTTGCTGCCAAGCCTCCTCCAGGTGGGACTAAAGACAAGACTATGCCTTCCTCTTCCAGCAGTGCTTTGGATTTGAATAATCTGCCCTGCTTCCTTTAATAGTCCAATAATGGCCCAACAACATTATGTTGGGAAAAAAACACAAAAGAAATGAAACTAGGAAGACATTTGTAGACAAGATAAGAGAGAAACCTCTTCCAGTAAAATCAAATGGAAATGATAGACAGGAACATTATCCCCAAACTCTTTCATGGGAAGTTCATGTTTCATAAAACATACTAGTTTATTTATATAACATTTTATTCTTATTGAGTGAGGGACTGAGGGTATTCATGGAATCATGGAATTTTAGATAAGTAAGGACTTTGAAGTCCATCTACTTTGATCTGTTTGTATTCTAGAAAATGAAACACAGAATGGTTTAGGTGACCCTTATTAATTCAGAAGTAAATATAGGTATTCACATGGTTGTATGCTATCTTAGGTTCATAAAAAGTACTTTAAATTTGTATTGTGATGGTACTGTTCATTCACTAAATATGGCTTAAGTGTCTCTTGTGTGCTAGGCTGGCCATTCTTTGGAATACAAATGAGAATATGTCGTTTTCCCTGAAGGACCAAGTATGTAAACTAGTTGGGTTAATAACACTTTATTGCATGAGGATAGATATATATATATATATATATATATATATATATATATATGTTATTTGTATATATATATGTCATTTGTCTACATATTTTTGATAACTAGAAGTGTGAAGCATTATGGTTTATAAGATCTTCATAGACTTCTGTGATTTCACTTAACACAAGTGGGAAGGAGAGATGATGAATGAAGGACTTGGAACTAAGAAAGTCTGGCAAGAGTTCAGGCACAATATAGACTGATCCTGACTGGAGTGATCCACTTGCTCTTCTAACCATGTTTTTTTTTTTTTTTTCATTTTCCCCCACAGGCACCTTCTCATTACTAGTATATTTTATTCCCCTTTCATACTTTCTCTTCCATCCATTTTTTTTCCTCAACTTGCTGTTATTTTTCAATTCTTTCTTTACTAAACTTTGCTATTTCATGTGGAAATGCTCATTACTCCTATCTTCTTGAAGCTCTATTCTTTGTCATATGTAATTCCTTATGCTCTGGTTCTTCTAATGTGTTTCTGTTTCTTACCTGTTCTCTATATGGGCTCTTTCTTTGTGGTTGTTCATTTCCTAGATGTATTCCCATAATTCCATTCTTGACCTTACTCTAGAAAACACGATTCAAATCTATTCCTCTGGTTTCATCTCTCATCTGTAGGCTTATGATCTTACTGTCAAACTTTAGACATACATATTCAAATGGCAGCTGCTGTTTTACCTGGATACCTCAAAGCCATTTAAAATGTATTCATCCAAAGTAGAAACCTGTGAACTCCCCAATGCTACTTTTTTCACTTTCTATATCTAATCAGGCACCAAGCTGTCACTATTTTATGTCTTTATCTCCAGCCATATTCTTCCCCTAAATTCTTAGGTCCCTAACATCTTTCCTAAAGTTGTACTACTCAGATTGTGGGTTGTTGATCAACACCATTGGTATCACCTGGAAGCTTATTAGAAAACATAATCTTAGGCCCCACTGCAGACCTACTTAGTCAGAATCTGCATTTTAACAAGATCCCTAGGTGATTTGCACCCAGTAAATTTTGAAAAGCATTATCCTTCCATAACCTCCTAACTACTCCCCCTCTCTCCAGTTTTTTTTCTGCCCAAACATACCCTCAATTAAACCACTGAAGTGTTTTAGTTAAAATGCAGATATTTTCTTGTTGTTCCCCTTCTTAAAAAATCCTCCATTGTCTCACCATCTTCTAAGAATAAATACTAAGCTTCATAGCTATGCACCTTCTTATTCTTGCCTATCTTCTCCAGGCTCACTCTTTTCTGCTCCCTGCCATAATCTATGCAGGTCATTTCCTGTGAACCATTTGTGGTTTCCAGAAACCATTGTCTTGTTTCTTGTCTCTATACTTTTGTTCATGCTGTCATATTGCCTGAAATAATTCCCATAACCCTCCTCTGGCTAACTCCTATTCATTGTTTAAAATGCAGCTGCTACCTGGAAGCCATTTTACTTCCTTCAAGGCTAATTTTCTATGCTTTCTTAACTTGCATTTCCAAGTATCTCCCCATGTGTTTTTATCTCCCATTACAATGTGAGATCTTTGAAGGAAGGGGCGTTATTTAACTCTTCTATAATTCCAGTACTAGAAATAAAAACTGGCACAAAAATTAGTCCTACCTCAATAGAGATTGGTATAATATATAAATCAGTGAACTGTTAATTAATATTTATCAAGTGCTTACTCCATGTTTGTACTATTTTATCCTACTTAAAGTGATTCAACATATCCCCCAAAGTTCCATACAGATGTGATTTTATCTATGATCTTATTTTATTTCTTTTTTATTATTTTGGTACCAAGGATTGAACCCAGGGGTGCTTAAACACTTAGCCACATCCCCAGTCCTTTTTATTTTTATTATAAGACAGGGTCTCACTAAGTTTCTTAGGGCCTCACTAAGTTGCTGAGACTGGCAGGATGTGATCCTCCTGCCTCATCATCCTGAGCTGCTGGGATTACAGATGTGCACCATCACTCCTGGGTATTTATGCCTTTAAATGTTGATTTAAGCAAGTGTAGAAATAGAAGTGATAGGGCTTCTGAAGGTAAAAGATGTTTAGAGAAATGACAGACTTCCTGTTGTGAAGATATTTTTCCTATCTCTGAGCTGAAAGTATCTGAGATAAGTGGCTTATAGTTTAGTGGCATAGAGTAAATTTTAATTGAATCAACTATGAGTAGTGTTTGCACTTTTGTCACTATTAAAGGGGAAATCATTTTAGTACTCTGAAGTTTCAAGGTTATTATCATGAGAGATAAAGAATTTTGGTGAAATTTTCATATGATGAGGAGGGAGGGGAATGAACATCAATTTAATTTAATCCAGTCATTGAAGTCATTTTACACTAGTTTCTGAAGCTAGAACTCAAAGAATAGATTTGTCCTTTCTTGCCTATTGCCTGAAGAGCAGTAAACATTTGAGAATTTAAAAATTGCTAGAGAAATTAAATTAACTAATGAGGATTTCAAAGAACTGTGGCAGTAGAATCCCATATTACAAATAAGCAGACAGTAAGAAAAAAACAATTTGACATATGCCACCTTAACTCTTTCACTCTTTACCAATTTCTCCTTTATGTTTCAACCTTCCTCTCCATCTGCTGTTGCTTATATGTGTTTCTTCCATATCTAATCTCTTTTCTCGTTTTTTTTTTCCTTCATCATTCTCACTGCTTTCTTTATGTCCTTTATCCAGCCCAGGCCTTATTAGCCCAGGAATGGCTACCATAACGATATGGAACTAAAGTATGTATGTATTTTTATTTATTGTATTTGTTTTGTTTATCTTACTAATTTCTAGCTCTATTATTGCACTTAATGTCTTGCCTTCACATGCAACTCAACATATCTAAAAGTGAATCAATAATATTCTCTAAAATTCTCTAACTTGAATTTCCCAAGATTTATGTCTTTGCCAGTAGGACCATTATTTATTAGCCATCTATACTTGAATCTTTGAGGGCATCTTTGATACTTACATCCTGTCCATCCTCAAGTATTATAAAATATTAGAACTGGTTCTCCTTTCTGTAGTCCTTTATTGTATTTCCTCTACCATCATATTGCACCTTAATGCTGTAAGAACCTTTTGGAATGGCTTATTTGTACCTCTTACATTCTAGTAATGAAATATTAAGCCTGGATAAATTATGTTTTCCACTTTTTCTATTTCAGCATACAGGCTACTGAGTAATGCTGAGAAAACTATATGAATTTAGAGATTGAGTACCTCTTCAGAGTCTGGGTATCTAACCACTTTGGGTCTTTAGTCCTACTTAACTTTTTTCTTTTCCTTCACTTTTCTCCTTAGCAATCATTTTTAATTATTTTTTATTTATATATAACAGCGGAATGCTGCTATATATAAATAAAAAATAATATAACCCCGTTCTTTACATTCTTATTATATAGAGAGAGCTCAATTTTTCATATCTCTGGTTGTATACATAGTATACTCAAGCCAATTCATGTCTTCATACATATACTTTGGATAATAATGATCCTCACATTTCACCATCATTAATAATCCCATGCTCCCTCCCTTCCCCTCCAACCTCTCTGCCCTGTTGAGTTCCTCTGTTCCTCCCATGCTCCCACTCCCTATCCCACTATGAATCAGCCCCCTTATATCAAAGAAAACATTTCGGCATTTGTTTTTTTTTCGGAGGGGGTTGGCTAACTTCATTTAGCATTATCTTCTCTAATTCCATCCATTTATCTGCAAATGCCATGACCCTTAACAATCATTTTAAAACTGTATCACTCTCCAAGACTCTCTTCCCTTGCTCTACGCCCCCCCTCATCACACTTCTTAGACAAGCTTCTTTCTTAATTTCATCAACAAGGAATTTTCCATCAGATGTGGATTACTAAGTATCTTGCCCTTCCCAGATCCTCTTCCTCCTCTAACCCTAAGCACCCCCTGTAGATACTTCTCTTATAACCCTGAGTTCCCTTTTAACTACAGCACTCTCCTTGTCTCCTCGGTAGCCAAGTTTCTGTTTTTTAAAAACTTATTCTACCCTTACTGTCTTAATTTGTTATTCACTCACTCCTCAATTCATTGCCATTGTTGGTCCATATTCACCCAGCCTTCATGCTACCACTCTATCATATCACTCCAGTGAAACTACTCCTCACTGAGTCATAGTGACCTCCAAATTTCTAAATGCAGTGGACATCTTTACTTAGCTTCCTAAAACATTGTTTTCTCTGTTCATCATTATAACCCCATCCTTTACATTTTGTACTTTGCATAGGCTCCTCCTTCTCTACTATCTTGGTTTAAAGAGTGACATTCTCCAGGGTTTTTATCATTATGTTGCTATTCCTATGCACACCTATACATTAT